TCTCCTGCTGAGCATCACCTTTTACAAGCATTACGGCACTTATTTGATTTTCGATGGTCTCCAAGCTATTTTTAACTATGTTTTTCCCATTTTTTGTTGATTCCAATGCACATTTTCGGACTTAACACCTCTTGAAACATAAGAATCAGCTGAGATTGCAATATATTATCTCCGGTTTTTGAGATATAGGTCTTTGAAATCTCAGGTTTTCCAGAAAACCTACCAACTGCCAAGTACCTCGAAAATTTTCTTAAACATACCATTAGACAGCACGTTCATTTCTCTACAGAATGACATATTTTCCACCTTTACATTGCTTAGCCAAATGAAATCGCACCAAAAACCCGAAAAGAGCTCATCGACGGCTAAAAGATGCATGATTTCACTGATATTGTTGTACAACAATTCTGTATTGACTCCAGCTCTGTCATTTTTTAACTTAAAAGGGTGGAAAATATGTCATTTTGTAGAGAAATGAACGTTCTGTCTAACAGAATTGATCCCGAGAAATCTGATGCACGCGTTAGTTTTGAGCTTAGGGAATTTGATGGCGAAAAATGCATTTCAATATGACGGATTTTCATGGTTTTCGCCATCTTAGAACAACTACGTAGAACCATTTTGAATATTTTTAAGTGAGCTATTTTATTCCTTGTGGTCTCTAGTCTATTTGCTAAAGCGGTCATGTTTGTCGCTTTTGTCATTTCTGAGATAATTAAGTTAGATATGAATTGCGTCTTGGAACCTATAAAATCATCAAATGTCGGATCTCCTCAGAACCCAACACAGATGTTTTAAAATTTTTTATATGACGCATTCTTACTCAGAGTTCAATGCTCTTTCAAATGAGATATGTGGTGATTTTTGCGGCAAACTTTTGTGTAAATGCGGGGCATTTCTGAAAGAATTAGCCTTGAAAGTCCCTTACAAAAATAAAATACTGTTGAACAAAGAAGTCAAAAATTATATCGTATATATATAGTTCGCGTGATTAACAAATGTTAAAATCTTACTCTAATAGAACCGTGAAAAAGGTTTATTAATAGAAGAAATATCATCCCTCGTAATGGTTATTCTCCTCAACAGTCTCCGGTTTATCTACGTCTGGCTTCACTTGGACAACTACTCGCCCATCAGCATATTTAACTTCTTCTAGCATTGCTCCTTTGTATTCCGGTGATACTGCTGTTAATATAATAACACATAGAAATACAGCACCGATAAATATTGCTTGTGTTTTACCATAATCTGGTACAATTTTTCCTGACGGGCTTTTAGTTTTTAGTTTTTCAGCAGCAGTAGCTTCGATTGTAGCTGACGCAGATGATATGGCATTACCCAGTTGATAAGTAAGACCAACGAACACGGCACGTAGTGTACTAGAAGGACTTATTTCATTCAAATGAATTGGTATTATTCCCCATGCACCTTGAACACAGAATTGCATAAAAAATGCACCAATAGCCAATATTCGCCAATCAGTAGGTAAATACCATAGAGGGATGAAGCATGCGCCGACACAGCATAGACTAATGATAGTGATCCGGCGACCCCAATATTGAGAAAAATAACCAGCCAGAGATCCTAAAGTATACAAAAAATATTTTGATGGAATTATCAAGACCGAAGTACAGTTTTACTAAAATAAGCTTCTTTTTTTGAATCTCGGTTAAAATATCAGAAATATTTCTCAAGAAAGTTGAATAGAATGAAAAGCCAAAGGGTCATCGATGCGTTACTTTCGAATAATGTAAATGGTCCCAAACGCTTCTTTTCTTAGTCTTGATGAATCACTTTCGGAGTTTTCGCATATATTCATCAACGGCAGGCCTCAAATCTACTTGAGCTTGATAGAAAGTTTCTTTTTTTTACCGAAAGTGTTGTCTACTCACACGATGATCCTGTATAAATAACAAAGACTATGATTGCTTTATAAGAGAGAAAACTAGAAAATACGAAATATTCCGTCACCGCTATTTTCTGTTGCTTCTGTAACTTTAACATAACATGCGTGAATAAAGCCAAATTTAATCCGTAAAATAAAGTAAATATAATGCCGAAAATAAATGTAATGCGTGGTTACCGAACGCGCTGAGTCTCGTCTCGTAGCAAAGTTTGTTTCTCGAAAAAATTCAAAGATCTAGTGTAAACCTATAATAACTCATTATTACCTATTTCCATTTAAACTAAGAAAATTCATAACTCACTCAAAATTGATCCAAACCTCACCGGGACCTCAAGAAATACTCTATTATATTTACACTATACCACGGAGTTTAACAGAAGAAATAATGAAATACTTTGGTGTTTGAAAAGGTGTTCCAGAAATCTCACGACGTAGAAGAATGTATTTTACTATTTTTAATTACAGAATGATATAGAAAACGGATAAGTTTTTGGCGCCGATAGTGGTCAGTAAAATTACTGTAGAAATCTTATACAAGATTGTAGTCCTTGGATAAAATTATAGTTCTTCTTTTATCTTTTAACTTTTAGCGACGACAGTATTTGCAAGAATCTTTTAGAATTTCTAATAAAACAGGTGATGAAAGATATTTATGAGATTAGTAAAATATTGGTTTTTTAAATAATATGTATCTCAAACTGACGCACAGTCATTGTGTCGCATGTTTTAGTCGAACTGTTCTTCGACAACACGAAGTCATTCTCCAGTACAGTAAACTATTGCCCGATTGAAACAGGGCAAACGCACGTAAACACCGTTGCATCTTTAACACAATCACTCAAAACACAGTTCAAATACAATTAAAACATTTTTAAGTAGTCTAAATGGTTTTATTCCACGTCTTTAAAAAGATATATTGTCGCGTCTTACTGTATCAGAAGTGATCAATCGAACTGCACCATCATTAAAAAATCAAAAACGAGACTCACTGAGTTTCCTATTTCAGAAGTAAACAGCTAATCGTGAGAAACTAAGTACATCTGGAAACAGTCAAATTTAGATGCGTTCTAAAGGTTATTTTTAGATGAAAAAAAAGTGTATCAGATATAGCTCACTACTGAGGAGCACCTACACATCAAAACCTTGAAACTTCTTATTTGTGTTCATATTACACTACCATGACTAATTTCTAAAGTTTCGAGACTTCTACAGCACAAACTTGTACTAATAAACTTGTCTATTTGGAAAACAAAACACTTCGCTTTTGTAACACTTACCTGCATCTATTTTTATTGCTCTCAATTTGTTTTCTCTTCTTCTTTCTCTAAATTCAATGTTTTCTTTTCTCTTTTTCTTTATGGTGATGCTCGTTTTTATTCTGTTTAAAGATTCCTCCCAGGAGATATAATATAGTCCTTAGGACAACAATTTTACTTGTTTGATATTCTTTTCTTGTTTATTTAGATTTCTTTAAAATAAAAAAATTTAAAATCAACACTTACCTCCTATTATTGCACCAAAATTCATGATAGAAACAACTTTCGTCGAGGTTGTTGGCGTGTTTTCCAGCTGAGACGTTAGAAAAGTAGGATACAAATCTTGACTTCCGTGTGACATAAAATTAAATCCGCTCATCAAAGCAACAGCATGAATGAGTCGCAACCAATGATATCTAAACAGTTCTTTTATTTCTTTCAATAATACTCTGCCTTTATCTTTTGCCGTCATTGTTGTCGAAGAATCTCGAGAACTGAGTGCTCTTCGTTTTGCTGCATCTTCGTCTGGTATAACAGCACGAAATATTGCAATTAACACAGCCGGTCCTATACCAAACCAAAATATAGCTCGCCAACCATACTTGGAATTTGGTACTATAGCCAAATTAATCGCAGCTGCAAGCAAATAACCGAATGCATATCCTTGCTGAAGAACACCACTCATAATTCCTCGTGCTTCATTTGGTAAATTTTCAATAGCAAGAGAAGCAGCACATCCATAAATTCCCCCAAGTGCAATACCATAGAGTGAACGAACAGCAAGAAATTCACTGAAATTTCGTGTAAATCCCGTAGAAAATGTTAATATACCAAATAGTAGAATATTGCCAACCATTGGCCATTTTCGACCATAACGATCGCCAAGAGCACCAAATATTACAGCTCCAATTGAACGAGTAAGTAACGTGAAAAGAATGGCAAGTGTAACGTCCGAGTGACTCTTATGAAACTCTTTGGCAATATTATCAACATTAAGTGAAACACAAAAAAAATCAAAAGCATCTGCAGTCCAGGCAAGCCATGATGCTGAAAATGTTAACCATTGACGACCAGATATGAGTTTCAATATACGTAATGGATTTTGATATTGAGAAAAATGATTTTTCATGATTGACTTCAGCGATGTGTCTTATGATAACATTATTAAGGTCAAAGAAAAGAAAAAGAAAGCTACTAATTTTTTGATATACATATATATCATAGTCTATTCATGCGAAACGACCAGTTCTTTTATGTTTTCTTTTTCAGTTGTATAGTCAGTCTATGCGTTGAGTTCATAACCATAGGGCATATATATTTTATTTTTGTTGAATTGTTGAATTCTCCATAGGATATATTTCGTTTCTCTTCGATATGTTTTATTTCTCTTTGTTAACTGCTTGTTTCTGTAGTGTACAAATATTTTGATAAATTCACTAACAACCCACGCGGTGATGTATAGTGGTTTGGTCCATTCGTATTCGATTCATACACTCTTATTTAAGCAACTGTTCATTTTCTATTTCATATCGACAAGACGTTTCTAAAATAGTTCATATTGTTCATGGACTACCACAAGAAGCTGTTCTGTCTCCGCTTTTGTTTTTAGTTTTTTGTTATGACTATTCTATCAAAGTGTCATTAAGTGGTTTTCAAAGTATGTATTCTGATGATGTTGTTACATGTCACACTAGTCGTTCTGCCTCTATCGATGACCTTCAACTTTTGCAAAAACACTCTCAAAAAACCTTAGAAGCTTCCGCTGAGCAACCAGATGGAAAATGGTAGTCAATACAAAAAACACGCAGTTTCAAATTTTCTTTCGCGAATTAACGTTGCCCTATACTATTAATCTCCATTATAATGGTCATCATCTTGAAATGGTGCCATATGACACCATTCCAAGATGATGACCATTATAAAGAATCCTTACAATTTGTATAAATATCTAGGAATATGGATTGCCCACTGAAAAAAATTTACGAATTCCTGCGTGTTAACGCAGGAATCTGAAAAAGTCCTTTGAATGTTGGATATATACTGCAGGTTTTTACATCATGTTACCTCGCCGAAAATTTTCCTGCAAATTGGTGAATATAATTGAGCAGGATTCTTTAACACGCTCACTTTCCAAGTGTGCCAAATTCTTCGAATATCCTTTCGGTACTTATATTGCAATAGACAATTTATGTTTGACAGTTTAGATAGTGCATAAGAAAATCAACAGAAATAACTGAAGATTTTTTGATGATAAAAGAATTTTTTTCTTAGTTAAAAAACAAATCTGTTAATATTTATCGATCATAATGTTTCTTCCTAGTATCGAATCAGCTTAAGGTAGTTGACTCACGGATTCCATCATGTTTTACCCGTTCTCTCTTCTCTCCATATAAGCCAGAGTCAAACTTTTTTGCAGCTTATATCTGCTATTTTGACTTTTTCAAAATAGAATTAAATCCCGAACTGGATGTTGATTTTCCCGAGAACCAGACGTTCTTCATTAAATTCTCCCCATAATGCTGCCTCACGAACTGAATAATAACGAAACCATAGGTTTCGAAAGCTCGAAATAAATTTAGAATGAGTTTATTCGCTGCTGTTAGAGCTCTACTAGAAGTAGATCAAACGATAACTAATTTACAGCGTAAGCACACAACAGTTCCAGTGAGAGAATAAGAACATCTAAATCCTTCCTGCTTTATTCTCGTAAAAAGTTGACATTTTCCTTCAGCCATTTTGGATCTCAGAAATAAGTCTGCCTTATAGGAAAATGCACCAGATCTAAAGACTTCGTTGCTATCAAGCTCAATCAATGTTTACTGTACAAAGATCTCAAATAAAATGCACAGAAGTGAGAAATGCATTAAAGGTTGATATTTTTTATAGAAATTGTGAGTATCCTTGGTGTAAAATAGCCCTGCTTTTAGTGACTCTGAGGTTGTACCAATGGTCTGCTCTGTCCTCTGAGCATGAGAAATGAATCTCAAGAGCAGAAAAAGGAAGGAATGTCAGTGATGACTGACATAACAGTGAACGAACACATCTGTGGAATTACGGTCACTACGTCTCAATGGCTTCTGTTGTGAGTGTGTACTTACTCGATCATTCAATACTCTTATTTCGTGCATGCTGTTGATCGTATTCTTAGCGTGTAGAATATTTGTCATAAATTAAACGTTTCTGATTAAAATGAGACGTCTTCCAGCTCTACACGACCTTTCTTTGCAAAGTTATAGAATTTACAAGAAAAGCCCTAAATGTTTATTGTCAGCTCAAAGCTACAGAAATAAGAAGA